TAGTGAGCACGACACCCAGGGGAGGGAATCCAAAAAGAGCAGCAGCATTCGGGATGAATGATGGTGGTAAGGAGGGGTGGTGGTGTTGGGCAGTGAGTGAGAGTGTCTCAGCCATAGAGAGGAGGAGACCCAGCAGCCACATAGAGAAATATCCGCTGTAAAGGGGATGCCCAAGAAACCGGCCAGGGGGGAAGAAGGAGAAGAACTCGGAAAATGGGTGCCCGGTGGGCCCTTAGGTCGACTGGGCCCCTTGCCCCTGCCCTGTGGCCAACGGTCGAATGGCCCACTGGCCAGTGCTTTAGGTCCCACAGGATCGGGTTCCCGGCTTGCAAAGGTTTCTCGTAAAAAATCATCTTAGGGTCTTCAAAAACGTAGGTGTTTGTTATAATAGCCTTATTTGTTTTTTAATCTTATAAATATTCATTAGTATTTCGGATCTTTTGCGTTATCGGGGAGGGTGTGTCTGGGGGAAAACAATTTTCCTTTTTTTTACCCAATTTTCAAAATAAAAATGGTGGAAGTCTTTCTGTAGCGCATTTTTACTATTCATAAGCAAAAAAAACGTACAATTTTTTAGTAAAAAAAAACAAAAAGAACCTTCGCCCAACCTTTCGAATTACAAATGTTTTGAGGTTATTGAGCAAGTCTTTCACATGAAATATGGTTAAATATTTCTCAAAACCTGTTCAAATACGTAGCATTAATCTATTAGCCAAAGTTTTGCCAGCAGGTTATTTTGAAGCCGTTTTCTGATTCAGAACCTTCCGGAATTCGCGATTACTATTCATAGGTCATGTTAATTACAACAAACTACAAAAGAAGAAGCAACAATTCTTAAAATCGCGAACATACAGAAAAAAGCTACTGCACCCCCGAAACGATCGTCAAATTGAAAAAATCGTTAAAAATTGGTTAATAAACAGCTCAAAATCACAGGCGGGCTGCCGAGCCTTTCTTTAAAATCGTTAAAAGAATGGTTTTTTATTTAAATGAACTAAATTAAAAATTTGAAAACGAAAAATTAAAAATTCCAAACATAAATTAAAAATTATTTTTTAAGCGTAAAATTTACTGAAAACAATCTCTCAACCACCAGCTAACCCAGTAGCGAGCGCCCGCCCGGAAGTACTAATTCACGGACGCGGGCTGGAGGGCTGAGAGGGTGGTGCGCAAAAAGTGTGGCGGGCCATAAGGAGTGAAGAATGGGATGGGGCACCCAGCCGGCACACCCACCCGTTTTAAGGCCCACGCCAGGATTTTTCCTCAAAAATACACACAACAACATACAAACACTGATCGTGTGTGTGCCCCCGGGGCAGCCAAGGGAAATGTCGAGATTTATGGCCCACCGGGGCCTAAAGAGGCACCCGTAGAACAACATCAGTGGGGAGCGGCAAGGAGGCGCCGAGGCTAATCTTGAAACATGGCTGTCAAAAACCGCCGCTATTCATGATTTTTATACTTTTTAAAGGGGCGCGCAAGGCAAGCTTAGGGAAGCAGACGTAGTCGCATAGGTAAACGTGCCTTTTGGAGCGCGCCGTAGGTCTCAGATTGACTACGCGGTGATCCGGTGCACAGTGTACACAGGAACAAGCAAAATTTTTGCATTGCCGCATTATCGGAGGGGGGGGGGTCATTTTATTCTATAAGACCAAAAATGCCTAGTAGCGCAATAGTAAATAGTTGTATAGCGTTGTAGTCAAATTTAAATATAAAACTAACCAAAAACTTTTTTAAAAATTAAAAATTTGGAAATTTAGTCGAAAATCAGCGATTATTCGTTGAAAATCGATATTTTTGTATTTTTCGCGAAAAATTTCCAACATTTCAGTATAAACATTTTTATTTAGGAAATACGTGATTTTGCAGATATTTTATTTAGGAAGTCGGATCAGTAAAAAAATAAAGTCTCGATTTGATGCTAAAAACTGGCTAAATCCGATCCCCCTGAGAAAATGGTTTTAATCGCTTTTTCCAATCGAATTATTGCGGGAAAACGTTCAATAATCTAAAAAGCGCCACGGAAAATTGTTACGCCATATAATTCGAAGCTCTTTTTACAATAGCTATACTACAAACTTCAGCTAAAAACCTAAATCTAAATCCGATGCGCCAGAAAAAAAAATGGTTTTAATCGCTTTTCCAATCGAATTATTGGCTGAAACGTCTAAAAAAAAATTGGAATAGCGCTACGGAAGATTGTTACGCCATGTAATTGGAAACTGGGTCTATATTCGCAAACCTAAAAAATATACATAAAAACCGATTAAAATAAACCTGTAATATACCTATAGAGCCTCGTTTCAAGGGGGGAAAATAGGGCAAAATTTCGTTGAGCAGAAAGTTTACGACATCAAAATCAGCCAAAACTACAGTACCCAAAACCGAATCCAGAGAGCGCGTAAGGAATCGTATTCAACCCGAGATGAGGGCCCATGAATCGAGGCCCCAACGCGCAAAAAAGCACATTGAATGTGGGTGATTTGGGTGGGGGAGTTAGGGGGCCCATCAAATGGTCTTGGTCTTGTGGCCCTGGGCGCCGGAATTGGGGGTCCCCTGGAATATGCAGGAGGGCCATCTCCTCCTCCTCCTCCTCCTGCTGGTCCTCTCGGGCTCCTGGGCCCCTTCCTCTCCTCCTCACCACCCCCCAAAATGGACAATTAGGCCAGCCCCCCTAGCACTGAAATGAGCACGGCCACCCCCCAAATGAGCTCATTCCTTTTACTGGGTGGGGGAGGAGCTAGAGCTCGTTTTTCGAGGTGGAAACACGCGGCTTTTCCTGTGTTCTCCTTGAAAAAAAGATAGTTGGCCTGGTGACGGGAAGTCTAAAGATCAGGTAAAAAGCCGTGGGACACAAATTTGATGTTTTAAAGTGGAAAATAAATATAAATTTTTAAAGTTTTTAGATCCAAATTTTTATCCTTAGAGCCCAGTTTCTTAAATCAAACATCATATTTTTATTTTGAAAGTTTTAATATTATTTCTAAAAACTTACAATTTTGGCTAAAAATACAAAAATATCGATTTTCCAATAAAATTCTCGAATTCGTAGCCTTTTTCTAATATTTTACATAGCTTCTCTAGTTGAAATACCGCCAAATAAATCAGAAATGCCTTAAAATACTGGCTATTACGTTACTAGACGATCGTGACTTACACTAAATTACACATCCTTTTGATTCGTTAATAAAGTTGTTTAGCAAAATTCGAGATCGTGTTCGAAACCTGCGCAAAATTCTGCATGAGGCGCGAAGAAACAAAAATTTCGCAAAAAAAAAACCGCTCGCTACAGCTATATCTGTCGCTCATTATCTCGTCCTCTCGATCTCACCCTCTCGCTCACACCTCTCGAAAAAATTCTGAAGTCAAAAACTCCCCCTAAAAACTCAAGAACCTACGCCCACTTTCAACAGCCAATTTTTCTCACCTTCCCCACCGACCTCAATATAGGACTTATCATGGCAATATCAGGGCAGACGCCCGCCAACAAAGGCTTTCTCACGAGATGCGACGCCTTGAGGAGCCCCTCCCGTGGCCCCCTGAGGCCATAAGAAGAATATGGAGGAAGAGGAGAAGGGGTGAAGGGGAAGAAGAAGACTGGCATCGACCACGGCCTCACAGCCTCTCCTCTACACCTCCACTGCCCTCCTTCACGCCGCTCACCCACACACACCTCTATGAATAAAATTAACACCTACACCGGCGGCTGAGCTCAAAGCCCCGGGGGGTTGTATATAGGAGGCAATCTGGAATTGGGTGATCAACGAAAGAAGGCAAACAAGCTAACGCGTCAGCTAGTTTTTCATGAAGGTCTAAACCAAGCTGCCGAAAGCAGATTGTTCGGTTTCTGAAGCCAAAAAAGAGTAGCTAGTTGCCTGCTTATAATCTTTTAATCCTTGCAACGAGTATAAATCAAAAGCAGAAAACGGTAATTGGCTGAATTTCGAAAAACCGAGTAAATACTTCAGTTGATCTTCCTTCAAGCTCTAAATTATGTTGCTTGAAAACATCTGGAAATCATCGAGTTGATGATCGAAAGCAAGGTTATTTTTAATTTGTAAAAACCTAACGCAAACAAGGACATACAGCAAGAATATAGAGCGCCCAAGGTTCAATCAGCACCCCACCTCGAAACACCCTAAAAATCCACAAATCATCAAAATCCGCCATATCCGCGTCAATAAAAACAAGCCTCAGCGCACAAACTTTTGCTAAAAAGCCCCCCACAGCTGGTCAGCAGGCCCGAGAGAAAAGCAACCCCTAAAGAAGGAGCACAAGAAGGAGGAGGAGGAGGGCGGCCCTACTGAATCGGAGTGACCCGGGGATGCAGCCCAAGAACAAATCCAATCCTAGAGAGGGCGCAGCGCCCCGGGCCGACCCCCCAACTTCTTGCTACACCCACTACGCCCAGGCTACCAATTACGGGCAGAGAGCGCCGAAAAAGGGCCAAGACGCGCCGCCCGCTCTGGCTCAGACCCCAGATAAGTTTGTATCCACGCCCCCGGCGGCTTATCCTCGGCAATTCGATCAGGCCGCTAGACGCCTAGGAGGGCACTGGATGACGCGGAAGCAAGTCAGACCCTAACTCTGCAAATAATTCCATCACGGAATGGAAAAGCAGACCTATTCGTGTAAACTTCAAAAACCACGAGCCTTCGGCAGAAATCTACGACATCATGGGCCAGACAACGGTGGTGCAACAGATGCAGAAGGTGGATAGGCGTGTGGGATGTCTCCCAAGGGGAGGGCCATGGCTGCGAAACCCTCTCTTGGAGCCGTCGGCCTAAAAACATCTAGCCGAGCTGTATCGCTGTTCAACCACAACCCCGACAACGGCCTTTCAATCATTCACCATGCCTGAAAAACCGATACAAATAAACTTTATTCAGACAAGATCAAGTCACGCAAAAAACACAAACCTATAGAGCCATGGCACTGTTAAAAAGTTACTAGACAACGATATAGGAACAAAGGTCGGGGAAGACGGCTTGTAACGATCACTTCTGGCGCGACGCACGGATAGCCTCGATTTGCTCCTGGACTTCGGGCGACAGCGAGTTCTCAGCCTAAAAATGATAATTAAAGAAATTATTAAGATATGTACCCTGGGGCGCAGGGAATCCAGACGAAGCAGCACACTGGTTGGGTACGACATGAAGGTGAGCGCGATGGTCAAATAGAGGGCTGGAAAGAAAAAACAATGTAGAATAGAAAAAACACATACCAGCCTTCTCGGGAACGGAGATAAAACGAAGCGGCGGGGTAGAGTCCACACCTTTGTGGAGGCCCCTCCTCTGCCCGGCGACGACCTGGCGGCCAGCTACCAGAAGCGATCGCGAGAGCATCTGAAAATTGGAAAGTTGAAGAGCGGGATAAAACGTATCGAAACGAACGAAAAACGAATGAAGGCTTCAAATTAGCAAGCGCCGGAAGGAATAAATCAGCAGAAAAGGTTATCGGCGAGCCATAGTCTTGGAAATCGCTCATTTGACTGAATCGGTTTTTAACTGGCTGACACGACAACCTTCGCTGCAATTGGATTCCGAGGTAATTGACTAGCTGCTCGGAAAATGGTTTCAGAAGCGGGGCAACAGCCCGTAATCTCGACACCTACATGCATTCACATCATCGGCGTGGTCAGGGATAATAAAAATCGTAGTGGATTATTGGAATTTAGATGTCGGGCAAACGGTCAACCTCCAGAATTATGATTTGGGCGCGCTGATGCGCCGGGACAAGCGCGAGCTGTACATGGAGGGGAAAACGCACAGAAGAACGACGATCGTGCCCGAAATGATCGCAGCGCTGGATCGGGAGGCGCAAGAGCGAAGGCATGTGCATGAAAAGCAGAGAATTCAAGGGAAAAAATAAACAAAATAAAATGAAGCGACAAAAAAATTCCAAATTGATTTCTCAGCGACTACGTCGTACAATCTCAACGGATTTCGTACGGAGGTGTAACCTGGAACCTATTGCGCCCAGAAAACCCAGTATTCTGAAAAATGTATGCATTATTTTTTTTATTTCTCACAATTCCCCTAATTTTTTCTATTCGATTTTTAGGGAGAATATCGGCCAGAATGCTGCCAGTGAATGGGAGTCGAGCGCCACGGAAATCCATGCCCTGGAGCGAGAGCAGTACCAGCCGGGCGTCACGCCCGACCTCATCCGCCGTGTGATGCAGCAGTTCGACACGCTCACCTTCGACCAGATGCGAGACATTGCCGCTCGGGGGTCGTTAGAAACCCGTAAGGCATTACGCTATACTTTATACTTGTTTTTTAGCTACCAGCAAATCCGAGGCACGGAAGCTGTTGCTAGAGGCTTTTCGTCCAGAATATGCGAAGCTACGCCTGGCCGCCGAAAATAGCTTGCCGGAAGATCGGCGAACGGCTTTTCACTTTGACTATCTGGTATGGGTCTTTGTTTTTGCAAGCATTTTTTTAGGTGGTGGTCGATTTGGAGTGCACGACTCGACGGGAAAACGTCGCTGCGTATCCACACGAAATCATCGAGCTGCCTGGGGTCTTGATCAACGTGCGCAGGCGGCAGGTCGTCAGCGAATTTCAGGTTTGTCGACTTGCTAAATTTCTCTGATGCTGATACTCGAAAAGGAAAAGGAAACCGCATTTTTGTTTAGAGAGAAATAGGGCGGAAAAAAAGCTCCTTTGAACCCTGATTTCGTTTAGACGTTCGTCCGCCCACGCGAGAACCCGATCCTGGACCCGTTTTGTACGGAATTAACTGGAATTACACAGCGACAAGTCGATCGAGCACCGTTTTTCCCGGAGGCTTTAGCACGGTAGTTTGCTCTAGAAAATCTAATCCCGTCCATTCTTTTAGTTTTATGGAGTGGCTCAACGATCACGGCCTCAAGTATCGCCCCGGCCGCCCGGCGCCCCGCTTCGCCTTCGTGACGGACAGCGCGTGCGATTTTGCAAAGTTTCTCCAGTTCCAATGCATCCTGCTCGACATCGAGATGCCGTTCATGTTCCGCAGTTTTATCAACATCAAAAAGTACTTTTGCACGAAGGTAGGGCATCGGATCTGAAGTTTATTTATGCCGGTTTTAGGTGACGAAACTCGACCGGAAGAATCCGGATGCTTATGGCAACAAGACGAGCATAGAGGTGCAGAACACATTGTTTTTGGGTTTATTCTTGGTGCTTTGTAGAAAATGTTACAACACTACGGCATTCGCCCGATCGGACGCTCCCATTCCGGACTAGATGATGCGCGGAATATCGCCCGTCTGACGCTGCGCATGCTGGAGGAGAAAAACATTGTCCTGCGCATCAATCAGACGCTGCGACCACGTGAAGATGCCAAGCCGGTGATATGCTCAAGACTAGCCATAATTTTGACGTTTATAGAAAGCCTACGAGTTGGTCGACACATCACTCTGGGACCTGCCCCTTGCACTCACATTTGTTAGCCGCGAAGACTTTCTGGGTGAAGCCTACCTTGACTGCGACGAATACTACAAGAGACTTGATGCCGAGGAAGAGCCGCAGAGGGCGATCGGGAGGAGGTTAATTTTTAAGATTTCCATTTTTTCACATGTCCAATTCAGAGAGACCTGGGAGGAAGGGATGGAGGTGCTTGAGCAATGCACTGTATGGGACCCGGAACAGGGGCGGCTCAATCTACAGTTTCATCGCAGCACCAGCGAGCCGGTTCCGGTACGTAGAACTATGGATTATAATTTATGGTGCTTTTGCAATAGCGGGGGTTCTAGCTTTTCTCAAAAGTCTAGAAATGCTGCAAACAGGTTTTCATTATCTTTGTTACGTAAACTGCAACTAGAATAAGGCGGAAAACCTACTTTTAAATTTCGAAAATGCTTAGAAATTTGAAATATTGGTAGGGAATGTTTTTTAGTCAAAAGCGCAGATTAAAGGTGTGCAAAGACTACCTTTACGAATGGTAGAGCTTCAAAAAGCTTGCACCCCAGCCCCCCTCCCCCCGATACTGAACATGAACCTAATTCATCATTTTCAGTTGCCATTGCCACGGACACAATCCTACACTGGCCGAATGAACGGATGTCGCGGAATGCAGCAAGACCCAAATACACAGCGCCGTGGCTGCTACACCATCACCTACCAACATAACTCGCGGCCAGCGCCCGCTGGCTACCACCAGAATAGGTTTCTCCGATTGCCTTGATTTTTATATTTTTTTCACAGGGAGATGCGCCGCCACGAAGAGCACAATGGACCCTATCCACCGGATCCGCGGCCACAGCTTCCTCCTCCTCGCCCACCGATCCCTCATCAGCATCATGCCCACCATCACCCCATGCAGCCGGCCTATGAGGAGGAGATCGACGGCACGTTCCCTGGCTTCCACCCGGCCTTCTCCGACGACTACGATCGACCGCAGGGACCGCCAAACTCCGGCCCGCGTCCGCAGTATCGCGGCGCCGCTCCGCGGCCCCCCATGGGCCGAATTCGACCCGCCTTCTCGCGGCCCAATTTCCACGAAAGCGACCCCTGGCAACGTCATCTGCCAAATCAACGTCGGTATTTTTAATCTATAAACCAGGGTTGAAAAGCCGCTTCGCGACTTTTCAACCCTGGCCCCGTCTCGGACCCCATACTATCCTTCCGTTTGCATAATTATCCTCCATTCAGAAGACAAAAAAAGATGAACACAACCCTTTCTGCCTCTTTATATAGGCGATCACCCACTTCCGCTCTATGCTAATTATCCCTAACAAAGAGGTTTTTACAAAACCCTAAATTTAATAGCGAGAATGGCTGATTTTTGAAAATATGATATGTGTGCAGTCATCCCTAGACCATTACACACCTAATGACGTATAGAACGTAGCCTAATACCCGTCCCTTCTTGAGATATCCTCCGGACAGACAGACGGAAATGGATGCAAAGTGGCACACACACACACACAAACACTATTTTTTTATATATAGTAGGATATGTGGGTTTATTCGCCACATCGGGGGATTAACTTTTTGCGAAAAATTTGGAGATTTTAACGTACCAAAACTTGGTTTTTCAGAGCGTGTCCCGCCCGTGCGCCCGGTGAGCAGCGCCGACCAGGAGACGGAGGAGCAGCGCATCTGGCGTCAGTTCGGCGCCACCCGCCGCTCGAGCACCTCCACGGATCGCCGCCATTGAACCAGACCCCGTTTAAAAATTACAAGATTATTTGCATATCTCGTCGTCAGTCCTCTCGCTTAATAATATTGTTTATCGCATGTTTATGTGTTTTTCGGGAACTGTGGATAAATTTGGAGTGTTATAGCGATCGGATTTGGTGTATTGCACGGCTCTCACCAAAAAGCTATTTTTTGGATCATTTACAATGCTTTGGCATCGAAAATTAAATGCTGAGAAATTTTTTCCATTGAAAATGCTTTATTTTTTGAGGGGGCGGGGGTTCGTACCGTAAAAGTGAGTATATCGTTTACTCTTTAGATACAAATTTTGTTGTTTAATTAAAAATTTATAATTTAGTTCGGTGCATGGAGTTTAACGGCACTTTACGGTCCCCTCCCAAAAAGCTATTTGCACAGCCGAGCCGATAAATTGAGGATTTAAACGTGAGCGACGTCGAAAATTGGGCCGGCGAAAGTCGTTGCATCTGCAAAAAGATAGGTCTTTTTCCTTAGTGATGCTAAAAAACGAAAAGGGTGCTAATGCAATTAGGGGGGCAGTCCAAAATTGGTAGTAAGGGGCTACGAGGCGCTCCGCTTAAGCCACTTGGTTTTCAGCTTAAGCCTAGGCTTAACTGAGCTTTAACTAAGCCTAGCTTAAGCTTAGGCTTAATCCTAAGCCCAAGCTAAGCTTATCTTGAACTGCAAATTGACTTACGAGGTTAAAATGGGGTCATTTATGGGTTAGCTTAGAACAAAGCTTAGCTTGGCTCAAGCTAAGCTCAGGCTTCGTTTGTATGAAGCTAAGGCTAGGCTTAGGCTTCACTTAACTTTTCCAGAAGCTTCGAGTTTAAAAACGGCATTTGGAGCGTCTCGTAGTCAAAATCCAGACTGCCCCCCAAGTGCATTAGCACCACGAAAAGTTTATTTTCATTTGGCGCTCCCAGAATGTTGCCGGGGCTACATAGTGTGCTTTGTCAAACGATTGACCTCGCTGTCACCTACAGGACCGTATCCTCAAGGCCACCCGTCAAACGGTCACATGCCCCACCCCGCCGCGAATATCTCCCGAGCCCGGGGGATATCGTTCTCGAGATACGGTGCATGGGAAGGAGGAGGAAATGGATAGCAGCCAGGTATGGTGGTGGGAGAGGAAAAGAGGCCGCGGAAATGGATGGGGGCTCGCGAGTCCGGCAGAGATGACCTTGCACCACAAACCGCACACACACCGCCCCATATCTCCCCTGCGAATCTACTGTAAAGGGTTGACCCCCGCTCCCAGGATCCGCTGTTTTTATACTTGTTTTGCTTTCCGGACTCGCTGGCGTTAATGCGTGGAATTTTTTCATTTTTCAAATAGAACTAGATATCCGTTTTAACAGGGTTATTCTCCTTATTTTCAGTTAGTTTTTTAATTACTGAGTTTCTGGAGTTTTTATAACTTTTTACTCAGGCTCGGACTTCCGTTTTGGCTAGAATCTGACTAATTTCGATTAGTTTTTTACTGATTTTGTTGCCCCTGCTGAGATTTGGTCAAATCGAGAATTTAGTGTGCGTTTTTGAACTCTTTAGGCCTCGAATTTTGCGGCTAATATTCACAATCGTTTAAAATCATTTAAAGCCTAGAAAACTTACCTTCAGCAGCCGGAAATTATCAACGATACTCTTTTGGGTCTGAACGTCCTACAAACCCTTTTTCCGCTCCGACGAGAAGCAAGAACGGGATCCCCTAATCCAATTAGTGAGAAGCCTAATTAAATTCCCAGCGAAACGAACTTCTTTTTTTTGTTTGAGAATGGACTCGCGAGTTTCGAAACTGAAAAGGTTGTTTATATTATTTTAGACATCGATTTTGTAAGCCGGGTAATGATTTATATCAACGAAAAGTACTTCTGTCTTTTTTTGGTTAGTTTTAGGACTATTCCTGCGGCTTCTCCGGCAGCAGATGCAAAAAAAGTGCGCGTTTGGGGTTAAACCTATTGCTTTTCGACCATTCAACCGACATAAACCTCGATTTCACCTTATCCAGCGCTCGAGGGGGGCAATATCCCGGGCGTCCAGCTGTTCTCAAGGTCCCCCCAGGCCATTCATGGCTACCGTACCTAATCCCCCGGTAAACAGCCGGTGCCCACGCCCATTCGATGACGCAACCCAAGAAGCGTGCGGTATCACGACTGGCAAGCGAGAAATCGCTTTGAAAATCATTTTTTAAACCGAACAAAAGGCGCAAGTTTTTATATTAGCTGTTTTCCCTTACAAATCGTTGTTGCGCGTACTACTCTACAAAGAAATTAGCTTTAAAAACGTATTTCAATCGAAGTGAACGGCTCTAATTCGGCTTCGTGAACTGCGTGCTCTTTTTAGCGCTCTTTTTATTTTGTTGCTTTTTATTTTTCTATTTTCCTTTTTGATTTTTCGATTTGAATCGGCTACGCGCGGCCGACTGGGCAAAAACTGATTTATTTAGGCTATTTTTAAGCGGTTTTAATAGAATTTTTGGAATAGTTTTCCGGGCCCAAATGTACCTTTTTGCAAAAAGCTGATATCATTTTCATTAATGCGCTTGGACAAGCAAATTCTGCGATCCTTGAAAGTAACTTTTTCGTTTTCAGGGCCGTGCTACCCTTACCCCACTACCGTACCCTCCATTGTCAATGTCGAAGTGCGACCTCGATCTGTTTGTCTGTCTGTTTGTCCGTCTTTCCGCCCTCCAACTATCAAAGAGAGAGAAAAGAAAGAATGGGGCAGCCGGTGGTGGTGGTAGTGGTGGCTGCTGTTAGAAGAGGGCTGGCTGGATGAGGCTTCCTCTTCAAAAACCCCACTCTCTCTCTCTCTCTCTCTCTCTCTCTCTCTATCTCTCTCTCTCGATTCCACGTCCATCCTCCGTTCAGCCCGCCCCCCATCTGCTTTGTGTCCCTTTTTGTTGACCCGCCCGGCCGATCTGCCTCTTTGCACCCTCTCGCTCTGCGTTCTCTCTCTCTCTCTCTCTTGCTCTTTCTCACTCGTTCTCTCTCTCTCGCTCTCTCTCTATCTCTCTCTGCTCTCTCGCTCGTCTCTCTCCCACCACGAAACGGGTTGTTCGCCAGCCCGCTGGTTTGCCGCACTCTGCTGCCGTTCCTTTTGGCTTTTTGCGGAATTTCTGGGCTTCTACCGTAGCTTTGGATTTCATTTTAGAGCATTAAGGTAGATTTTTAGAAGTTAGCGTTTATTTAGAAGCAAATTAGGGAATTGAAGTTCGTTTCGAACAGTTATTTAATTGTTTCGGACGTTTGTTTCGGTTTCTCGACCTTGAAATTCTTGTTTTTCTTGGAATTTTAGCTGTTATTTTTCGAAATTTCGTTTATTTTTGCGTTTTTTAGAAATTCTATGATATTGCTAGGGTAAACTTTCTAGTTTCAGGGCCCTTAGATGTTGATATTTTAAATTTTTGTTGTTTTCTTTAGAACTGGATGGATTTTAGGAGTAGGTGTTATGTTTTTCCTTTTCTAAAAGCGTTATTTTTTCGAGTTTTTCAAAGTTAAATTTATTGGTTTTAAATCAACTGTTTTTGATAAGCTTTTCTTGTTTTAAATTTTCGACTATCATTTATACTTTTATTTATGACTTTTGGCGGGTTTGATAGCGCATTTTTGTTGCTGTCCAGACCGCACGCCCCTAAACGGATCTCCGACCAAGATTTTTGGGTCACCTGCCCCCGGTGGTACCGTACCCCCGTTTGCACCCCATCAATCCCCCCAAAAACCCACCCTCCTCCTCCGCTCTTCCTCCCTACCGTGCTCCTCCTCCTGCTATCGGGAAATCTCGCGGCGGCGGCGCGTTTCCTCCCAGCGTCCGCCCGCGGAATTTCTCCTTTTTCGGTTCTATTCCCCCTTTCCTGGACATCCGGGAATCGGTTGGCATCGAAAAATTATCCTTATTGGATACTAACTTATATAGCGTGTTATTTTTTATCTAAATAGGGGAAATGTTTCTAAAATGTTTTTACTAAACTGAAAAAACGTGGCAATTTTTAAGAGATATAAAATATGGATTTTTCGTCGAAAAATGGCCTTTTTTACCCAAATTTAGAATTTTTGGAGATTTTTGAAAGTTTTTAGATAGTTTTCCAGTCGAAATATAGAAGAATTTTACTACAATTTTTTAAATGTTTACTTTACGCTACTAGGCATTACTGAAGAAAATAGGTCCCCCGATGCTGCAAAAGAAGCTAATATTCCTATCATTTTTCAGCATTTTTGGCGCCTTTTATCTTCTCTCTCATTACTCTGGAAGTATACAAAATTCGTTAATTACCCTCGATTAATTTATGCAATTTTAAAATGGTTTTGGTCTCCTTTTTCCTCCAAAATTCATTCCTCTCAAGCTTTTTAGAATTTTCGGGATCTAAAGCTATCTTTATTTATCCCCTTTTCATCTCCCTTTTTTGGGTTTTTATCCGCTTTTTATCAAGTTCCCAGCCATTCTGCCCACAAAACAAATTCGGCGGCGGGGGCCCGGATTTGATTAGCGCCCGGTGGGTGGCCCGGTAAAGAAAAATGATACCCCATCTACCCCCATTAATCCCCCAACCCAGCTACCGTAACCCGCCCCCCATTCTTTATACTGGATGTTTGCCAAGAGGGCAGTAATTATCCCCCTTTCCCTCCCAGGCCGACTCGAGTACCGTACCCCCCGGGGCCATATTTGCGCAGCGCCCTACCCTTGCGCCCTCTTTTTCCTCTTTTTCCTCTTTTGCATCCTGTCCGTTCTCCCACACTCACACAAATGATTGATGCGCATTTTGGCGCTGACCAGCTGTGCTCACCGTGCTCCTTCTCCCCCCTCAGGCTTTTCGGGCAATGCTTGGGGTACACTTGCCGAGTTTCTTTCGAGTGATTTTTTCGTGGGAGAGTGGCATTCCTAATTGGTTTTCCCATTTTTTGGAAATTTATAGCTAATTTTTGATCGTTTTTCCTTTTGGAGGCTTTGGCTAGGCTTTAGCTAGACTTTGCCGACGTCTTGGAGCCGCCCTGTTGAGGT